CATACAGTATATATTTTGAAAATATTTATATGTATTTACATGTCTATATTTATATTCATATAAATTATATTATAAATAAATATATTTAATATATAAAAATGTTTTTTTTTTCTGAAATATATACATGCATGTGTGTGTATTTGTAAACAAAAACTTTTATTTTGGATGCGATTAATCGCGATTAATCGTTTGACAGCACTAATAATTTTTAATTTCAGTACATCAAGTTAAATTAAATGAAAATGATAAACGTTGCCTTGGAAACTAGTTGAAAGAAACATTCATTTAACATTTACTTTATTTCAAGCAACAAAAATTTGTTTTTTTTAATGATTTTAGTTTAAGTTAACTCTGTTTTAATTTAATTTCTATTAAGAATTGTATTTGAATAATCTGTAATCACACATTTAACACAGATGCAATCTAGTACATTTGAAATATGAACTTAATTAAATGTAATATCAAATAATATTTTGTTTCATTAATATTATATTATCTTAAAAATATACTTTAAAGATTCGAAGTTCACTACAAGTGCACATTTCTTTTACACACATCCATGAGTACAAGATGACTCTCTTGAGCAATATTTTAGGTCCATTCTCCCATAAGAGAAAGATTGTAAATTTTTAAATCAGCTAAAAGTGACGTTTTCGTCAATGTTTTGGAGAATCCTAAGAGACAGACTAGGACTAAAAGTCATTAATCTTCCGTTTTGGATTTTCCAGCAGGACTTTACCTCTGTGCAGCAGCCACTCGCTGACGGCCTCTGTCACGTCGAACGACAGCCACTCGCCCTCCGTGCGGGTGCGCACCACCTTGCTGTCAATGTAGCGCTGCGTGGGGGACGTGAGGTCCTTGTGACCTAAAATCTACAGAAACAGGACAGGCATCAGCACGGGTCAAGCACAGACCGCAAACGTGCCCGTCTAGAGCGGCACCCTGTCCAGCGCCTCAGCAGCGGCTCCCTTCCTCCCATTGGACGCTCCCTGATTGATTAGCCAGGTCTGGGAAATGCTTGGAGAGGCTGCGGTGGCGGAAACAGATGCTGGACAGGGTGCACTGTTATTCCTCTGTTTACGTTGGACAGCACAGCTCTTAATGCGTAAAACACTGCTTCAGCTGCAGCGGCTCAGCTTCCCTCCATCAGGCCACGTTGGTGAACGTAGGATGGAGAGGCTCAGACGGAGGCCAAAAAGGAGATTGTTAATTGTAGGGTTGTTAGGCTGGAGCTACAGGGGTCTGCTGTCGCTTTTGGGCCAGTTTGGAGTCTAGTTACACAACTGCTGATACAGAGATAAATCTCCACACAGACCAGCAGTAACGCTTGATTGGTTTAACAGGAGGGATATGAGGGATCTATTCATTTATTACGGATTAAAATACATTTCTGTAAGATTTTGTTGAAAGAAATGACTACTTTAATTCATCAAGGATGCATTTATAAGACTTTTATAATGTTACAAAAGATTTCTAAATAAATGCTGTTCTTTTGAACTTTCTATTCATCAAAAAATCCTGAATAATAAAATGTATCATGGTTTCCACAAAAAATATGAAGTGATCTATTCATTACGGATTAAAATACATTTCTGTAAGATTTTGTTGAAAGAAATGACTACTTTAATCAAGGATGCATTTATAAGACTTTTATAATGTTACAAAAGATTTCTAAATAAATGCTGTTCTTTTGAACTTTCTATTCATCAAAAAATCCTGAATAATAAAATGTATCATGGTTTCCACAAAAAATATGAAGTAGCACAACGGTTTTCAACATTGATAAGAAATAGAAATGTTTCTTGAGCAGATTTCTGAAGGATCATGTGACACTGAAGACTGGAGTAATGATTAATGATGTAATGATGAAAATTATTTATGAGTTGTAATATTATTTCAATATTTTTTATTTATTTATGTATTATTATTTACAGTGTTTACTGTAATTTTGATCAAATAAATGCAGCATTTGTAAGCAGAAAATACTTTGAAAAATCTTTCTGGCCTCAAACTTTTGAACGGTCGTGTTCATTAAAAAAAAGCTATTTATACAATGAATTAGAAACACCTCTTCTGTGATGAATGAACATGCTTTTCATTTCTGAATTAATATTGATTTAGATTTTTTTTTTTTCTGACATAAGTCAGAAATGTCAACCTCATTAAAATAATTAAATTGTTGAAAAGTTTATTAGTTATTCATATTCTTGTATTTTATTTCTTTGAGAAAAAGGGAAAATATTTCTTTAAAATATTAATTATTCCTGTTAATTGAAAAAAAAAAAAAACACTTTTTGTAATGAACGTTTTTTTTTTTTTTTCATTTCTGAATTAATACTGATTTTGATATATCAACGTCATTTACTTTTTATATTATGTCTTAGAAAAAAAATTATTATCCATGAATTAATAATAATAAATATTAACCATAAAAACACCTCTTCTGTGATTAACGTTTTTAATTTCTGAAACAATTTTGAACTTTTGAGGACAAAATGTCAACCTCATTAGAAGCAGTTTTGTTAAAATATCAAAAAACATTTAAAAAAACTTTTGTACACCAAATAAAAGTCATGCGGTCAAATAAATAATTCATGATATTTGGGGAAAAAAAAGTTTGGCCTTCTATTTTGGTCTTGCGGTTTGACAGCTTGAATAAAGTATATGCTATACAGTGAAATTGCATATCGTATTGTTCTTTCTAATCTTTTAGTTTGAGCTGTTTCACCATTTTTTATACACCAAACATCAAACAGACACTACTTTGTTCATTCCTGAAGTGAACTTTTCCCAGTATGGTGAATAGATTCACTATTTTTGACTCCCTTTTTTAATCAGCCAATGTAACACCTACATTAAATGTGTTATATTGCACTATATTTTCAGTACTGAAGTTCACTTTAATTATAACGACTGTATGATCCTGACCAGGATCATTAACATGAGTAATACAAATGGAAGCGGATCAACCTCTCCCTTCCCTGCAAGCTCCTTTTAAACCCTCCCTAAGACATTCACCATCTCGGTGTTAGTGGGCCAGTGTTTACTGCACCTGTCATGACGGACCTGACACATGGACAGAGAGGAGGGGAGCGAGGTTAAACGGAGAGGCAGGTGGGAGACGCTAGGATTTTATTTAGCCCTCGAGACCCTCCGAACTCTAAATCACCAAACAGCATTCCACACTCACGTCTCTCCACACACACACATAAAACCCCGCTGATCGATGGGCCGGAGCCCTACAGCACCCTTAAGATAAATAAACGAACATACGAGGACAGAGGAGGAGGAGAGAGGTTAAAAAGTGCATGTGTGGGCGCTTTCACACCACGTACACAAGCCTGTTTGACGTCACTGTTTGCTTCGTTTTCTGAACTTGAGTGTGTATTAGTGAACCGCAACTGAGTACAAGTGGCCTTAGTTACTTTACTGGTTTTCTTTCAATTAGCACAACTTTTGTATCTCTGTTTGGAACTGATTGATCATTGATCTGAGCTCATGCATTTCAGTTTTGAGTGAACATTGCCAAAATTATCCACAAATAATGCTTTTTTTTTCAGTCAAAAACCAAATTAGGTAAAGGATTTTCAACACAGCACAAGAGTTTCTGGAGTTCTCAGTTATGTTTCTTTCATGTATCAATTTCTTTCAGCTGTATTCGTTTAGCATAAATAAAATCGCATACATAAAAACAAGTGTTCACATACATTGAATATAGGGCTATAATGTGAATATTTCGTCTTGGGTATTTGTGATGAGAAATGTTTGCGTTCTTAATGAAATTTCTGAATTTTGATTGCAGACTTTGTTATCTTGGCAAATCTGGCGTAAATTTATAAAATAACGTAAAATAAAGTAAATTTTTATATGATTTGTACATTAATTTTTGGTCATAAATTTTAACAGCACTGGAACTGGCATGTTGTCCTCTTGAATAATTACCTAGTCTATGGTATTAGCTGTTTCTAGCATTGATGACGTAAAAATATAAAATAGTTTGGATCCAAATGGAAAACTGTCACAAGAGATCTACCAAGGAAATTAACCAAGTGTGAAAACAGCTCAAGTTTACATGCAATAGTTCATGGAATTGAATGAGTGGATGAAGTCAAATGATCAGATGGAGAGGACAGGACTCACCTGGTAAAGCTCAATCCGCTGCTCAGACACACGGGCCTTTGAGTTCTGCAGCCTGAAGATCCTGAGCTCTGCCTTCACCAGGTTCGAGGCGTTCTTCTCCATGGAGCTCATGTCAAACCTGAGCCTCCTGAAGTACGGGTTGTAATGTGTTGGAGAGATGACATCTGGAACAAACAGTGAGCAGAGTTACTGTCCTGCTAAGTAAGACACTTTATGTACCTGCATGTGTGCAAAGAATCCAATCCCTCTGCCAGTCCTGCACACCATTATTTAGTTATTTTGTATATACGGTGCCCTCCACTAATATTGGCACCCTTGCTACATATGAGCAAAGGCGGCTGTGAAAATAAATCTGCATCATTTATCCTTTTGATCTTTCCTTCAAAAACTTCACAAAATCCTAACATTTCATTAAAGTAAAACAATGGAACGTGGGGGGATATCTCATTGTGAAATAAATGTTTTTCTCTAGTTCACGTTGGCCACAATTATTGGCACTCAATTATGGCAATGTCCTTTTCCCAAGAGTTTTCTTCTATACTGACGGAGGAGTTTGGAGAGCAGACCATTCCTTCATCCAGAATCTCTCCAGATCCTTCAGATTCACAGCTCCATGTTGGTGCTTCTCCTCTTCTGTTCACGCCACTCATTTTCTACAGGGTTCAGGCCAGGGAACTGGACGGCCAAAGCTTGGTTTTGTTCTCAATGACACATTTTTTGTTTTGATTTTGATGTTTGTTTTGGATCATTGTCCTGTTGGAAGATCCAACCTCAGCTTCTAAGCATGGACAGCCAGTTTTTGATTTTTTATCTGTTGGTATTTGGTAGAATCCATGATGCCATGCATCTGAACAAGACGTCCAGGACCTCCGGCAGAAAAATAGGCCCACGACATTAAAGATCCAGCAGTATATTGAACCGTGGACATGAGGTATTATTTTTTATCCCTGTTTGCACCAAACCCATCTGGTGGGTTTGTTGCCAAAAAGCTCTTTTTTTAGTTTCATCTGACCATAGAAGCCAGTGCCATTTGAAGTTCCAGTCGTGTCTGACAGCTGAATATGCTGGAGTTTGTTTCTGGATGAGCGAGGAGAATTTTTCTTGAAAGACTCCCGAACAACATGTGGTGATGTAGGGGCTATTTGAATATTTTTTTAGGCTTTCTGACCCCAAGACTCAACTAATCTCTGCGATTCTCCAGCTGTGATCCTTGAAGAGTCTTTGGCCACTCAAAGTCTGCGTTAGGATGATATAGACACATGTCCTCTTTCAGGCAGATTTGTAACATATTTAGTTGATTGGAACTTAATTATTGCCCTGATAGTGGAAATGGGGATTTTCAATGTTTAAGAATCCGTGTATCATTCGTTCATTTGTTTTTTGATTTAATATTGAAAGTAGAAAAATGAAAAAAACGGCTCCTTTTCACGAGATTTCACGAGAATTCAGTTTAAATTTTCGTTTTTCGTTCAGGGATAGAAAAATAAACAGCTTGAATATTCGATTTCTACACGTGGGCAGGAATTAAACGCCCCTTTCTTCTGATTGGTCAGCCGAAGATCAAACCGTGCCATCATCAGTTCTTCCGCAGTTTCATGCAGCAGAATAATAGTCCTCCGCTGCTGCAGTTGCACGGATTCTTAATGCATTTATTGCAACTACATTTAATCTTTTTTCATCAAACAAACAGACTAATAAATAGCTCGACACAACTCATAGAGCCTAGACAGGGCTTTCTTCTGTGCAGATATAAATTCTATTCTTTGCATCAGCTGGGCATGGCAGGGTATGATGGCTGTCATAGCCTACCCTGCTCGCCCAGTAAGTCTGTTTGTTTAATTAAGTAATTAATTAATTTATTCGTTTCAAAATAAATATTTTAAACACTAAGACAAAAAGGAAAGAATAATAAATTGGCTTGGGTATATATATAGGCCTAAGGTTCACGCAAGAACTGTCATTCTGACTGACAACCGGAGAACAACAGATATTAAATAGCCTACTCTTTTACAGTATAATGTATTCTTGTGTTTTATCAGAATTGATTGTAATTGATATCTCAAAAGGATATGCGCTTGTGCGTGGCATGAGCTGCTGCACACTCACACACAGGACTGCAACGCAAGTTTTCATAAAATAGCCTATAATAACTTGCCATTTCGTTTTGTTTCTCACCAAACCCACAGTATACCTTAAAAAAAAATCATGTTTAATTCAATGTGTAACTTCCCTTTTCTTTTTAATTATTTGTGAAATTTACTAGCAATTTCTGAGTAAAAATTTTAAACTAAATTCTAAACCAATTTGTTTTTTTGTTTTTTTCAGAGTATAAAATTGCATATATAGACCTACTTAAGTGGGTCCGAAAAGCTAAAGCTAAAGTTCAGTTAACTGCATTTAATATACATTTAAACTAAAATACATTTAACTGTAAATATCATGCAAATTAGCGGAGTGTCCATAACCATTACATTCAGTATTTTCTTTAAAGTATATTATTTCCATAATACAGTAAGTGCTCTTTTTAAAAGTATGCTAAAGTGCACTTCTTTTTCTCAAGGGTCTGCATATTTCTCACACAGCTGATGGTACTCGAGGCGTTTAAACTATTTCAAACTTTCACTGTGTAAATCAGAGTCTTGCAGAGGCAGTGAGCACTGCTGCAGTGATGTAACTTTTTACGTGCGAGCCCTCGTGCTCGTGGGGCGCGTCGAGGCGTAGTGTGTACACTGAGAGTGTGATGAAACAATAGCGGGACACACACCAGGGGCCGGGCCGTCACGCGAGGGTCAGCTGCAGTACAGAGCCGCTCCATATGGTTCCTGAGTGAACCCAGTAGCCCAGCACTCACACAGTACTCCAAACCATGTGTGAACGTCATGTGCTTTGACAGGCCCCGTAAACACACACACATACCGCGAGTGTGCTGAGAACCATGTGTGCTACAGCGAGATGAGAGTGACACTCCGCACAGTAGCTCAACAAATTAACAAAGACAAACAAAGCCACATGCACAACTGTGTAAGCGAGCTCCTGACGGGCCGCCATGACACTGCATGAATTACAGCTGCGTGATGCCGCGTGACACACAGCGATACACTCAGTTTGCTCAAAATCACCCCGCAACCGTGTGTAACTAATGTGTTTTTAGCATGAGCTTTGCATGTTCCCCATATAGGGGATTTTAATTTTTTTTTCTGGCCAAAATATTTTTGAAATATGTGACCCTGGAGCACAAAAGCAGTCTTAAGTCGCTGGGGTATATTTGTAGCAATAGCCAAAAATACATTGTATGGGTCAAAATTATTGATTTTTCTTTTATGCCAAAAATCATTAGGATATTAAGTAAAGATCATGTTCCATGAAGATATTTTGTAAATGTCCTACTGTAAATATATCAAAACTTAATTTTTGATTAGTAATATGCATTGCTAAGAACTTCATTTGGACAAATTTAAAGGCAATTTTCTCAATATTTAGATTTTTTTGCACCCTCAGATTCCAGATTTTCAAATAGTTGTATCTCCGCCAAATATTGTCCTATCCTAACAAACCTTACATCAATGGAGAGCTTATTTATTCAGCTTTCAGATGATGTATAAATCGAAAAATCGAAAAACAAATGGACCCTTATGACTGGTTTTGTGGTCCAGGGTCACATATATGCTAAATTTATGTTGTAGTGAAGTTCAATGAAATGAAAACTGAAAATATATTTAAATTCATTCTTCATATACAAAAATATATTTCAAAATGTATTTCAGGGCAAAAAAATGCAATGCAAACGTCAATGGAATAGCCTAGAGTTTATATTTTTAAATGTATTTATATGTATGTATTTAAATATATTTATAATTTCAAAATATTTTTTTTCAAAAATACACAAAAAATGGGCAAAAATATTTTGGTAGAAAATATATATTAATATAAATATTGTGTGTGTGTGTGTGTGTGTGAGTGTATGAGGCCTGAAGCTCTAAACGGAGCCTGAGCATTGCACAGAAGTCAGGGATTACAGAGGCTCAACGGTTTGTTTAATAAGCCTACGCAAGCAGGACTTCCGTCCACATGAGACGGACAGAAGAAAACATTGGGCAGCTGCCGTGACTGTAAGAACAATCAGGGCTTTGAAGGAAAACTGTGAATTTTCACTTCAAGAGAAGTAACTTTATTACAGGGCTTTCTGGAGTATTTTATTCTGAATGGTCATTCGCAGTATTTTGTCATCAGATATTTTTGTAATTGTATAATTGACCATTACGCCACGCAAAGTCTCTCATATCATCACTCTGCAGTGTTTTCTTATAATCAATATTTAATGCATAAGTAACGGTGTACCAAGTGAATGTGAAAGTATGTGAATGGTCGTGCCCAGCTTGCCACAATACAACTATGTTAGAGTTAGTTTTTCGGGGCACCGCTTAATAGTTCTAGGTGGTTGCAAAGGGTGTTTTGAATGAGCAGTGTTGGGAAGGTTATTTTGGAAATCTAATAAGTTACAGATTACAAGTTACCCTATCTAAAATGTAATAAGTAGTGTAACTATTTCAATTACTTTATTAAAGTAACTTAACTGATTACATTTGATTACTTTTCTAAATTTCTAATGTTTTCAACTGTTAATCATTTTCAAACATGTAAAGCAGGCCGGGTTAACCTTACTGTACTCAATCACTTGAATTAAGATTTGGATCATTTAATTTTAAAGCACAGCCACCACAAACTAAGACTTACTTTGAGATCATTCTGAGGATAAAAACTGATTTAAAACCATAACAAGAAACAGTTTAGTAGCTATGATACTGTTTTTGAAATCAAATCTTTGCACAGACAGGAAACACTGGCATCTAACAATGCATTGGAAAAAACAGTTAAACTAAAAAAATAAAGCATATGCATAAATCCAAATAGGAAACAAAACAGTTATCGAATAAGCATGTGTCCTATTAGGTGTCCTAAACTCCTGAAACATTCGCGTCTTATTTTAGGGCAGTCAGTGCAATTTATGAAAGAAATCAATTAAATCTGTATGTGGATGTGTGCGTGTAAAAAATTCAGATACAACCCCCATTTTCATAAGTAACTTTAATTTAATTATACATTTTTATCAGTTACAGTAACAATTACATTTTTGTAATTAAATTACGTAATTTAGTTACATATA